TGCAAAAAGATCATAGTGTCCAATGAAGAATTAACTTGCTTAACTTACTCAGTTCGACATGGAAAAGACTAAAATTGTCTTGGTTGCCTTGTATATATGTAACAGGACTTTTCCATGACAGGATTATTAATGTGTGTGAAGAAAAGTGTATGTTGCTTACATGTGCAAGATATCACACATGTATGTTGCAATGTAATATGTGCATGTGTTATTACCTGAAAGCCAAAACTTTGGGGTCTCACAATTCCCCCAAATTGGTTTTGACTTGGAAAGTGCCATAGTAGCTCAAAAAAGGGGAAACAATATAACTGTATCTTAATATCCAGAATGTATTCTACCTCTGTTAATGAAGAGGAATATTAGGCTTTTTTTTGAAAAGAGTATTGGTGATTTTTATTGAAAAACTAAGTATTTTTATTATACCTGTTGTAGTGTTTGTTTATACCTGTTATACTATTTCTTTTTATATATATTAATTATTTATTATACATAGAGATAACACTACAGTTCAAGGCTTTAAAAAAAAAAGAGAAAGAGAAAACCACAGTATTCTCGAATCAATCTATACAGTGGGTGCCTTTGGGGGAAGTACAAGTTTTTGCATTCAAGGAGCAGCTGTACAAAATCATGCAAAAGAAATCCATGGAAAGCTACTAAATATATAGAAACCAGGGCTGGCTGATGAAGTCTCTGAGCTGCCGGTAGTTTTAGGCTCAAAGAGTATTCAGGTGCAGTATCATACATGCTTACCATGCTCCTGGGTGCTCCCCTGCTGCTGCTTTTTGCCATAGTTAGTCCCTTAGTCTTAGCCAGTACAACTGCTCTGAAGGTGCAGTATTTGGCTGTGATGCTGCTTTTTTTGCCACACAGATTACTGCAATACAGTGGAAGTTTCTGTTAGCATTTAATTCCTGAAAATACTGGCTTTTGTTTACACAACAGCTCTGCCTGATCCAAACCAAGTGGCAAAATTAATGTTAAATTTCATTGTTATATTTTCATGGGTAGGATCTGAGTAGCACAGGTCTTCATGTGAGAACAGTTGTAATGCCTTTTCTGTCCCTATCTTATTTTACAAGCAGTAGCTTGTGCTTCAGTGTGTCCTCCTTCATTCTGCACTACAGTGACCCACAGGGTGAGGAATTTTTCCTAGGTAGGAGGTGACTGGATTTCATATTGCTGGCTCTGGGCAATTTGCTTGTGACAGAGGACCGTAAGAGCTTCATTTGGGATGCACTGAAGGAACTTGCCTATCAGCTCATTGCCCCAGCACCTCTCATCTTTGAAACTCTTCTGGATCATAACAAGAATGCTATTAGAGGAAAGATTATGGATATCTTTCACTGTTTCAGTTCACCATCAAATGGATTTTCCATTGCTTGGAATTGGTATTAGGCTCTGCATTGGTGGAGGCTAATGTAGTTGCAGAATGAATTTATCTTAGTAACTAATCCTTGCCGCCTCCCTGTGAGGTGATTTGCTAAGTATCTGACAGATGGGGAAGCATGGGAGGGAGAGATGGTTTCAGAGCTGGGATTAGAGCGCTGATGTCCCAGACTTCTGGTCCTGTTCTCTGCACAGCCATGATGCCAGCCTTTCCTACCCATCTCCTGTTACTCTCTTGGGGCAAATTCCCATTGAACGTTATTCATAAAGACAACAGGGAAATAATCCCGTTGTCCTAGTCGGGAGTGAAATTCATCCTTTATTTCTGTGGCATTGTATGCAATTTAATGCTAATGGTCAGGAGACCTTAAATAACCACATCAAACAGCCAATTCAGTGCCAGCCTTCCTTCTTATTTAGCTTAGTCTAAACTGACACCAAACTTTGAGACATCCCTCTCCTCCCACAGTGGAGAACTGCTGGGATTTTTTTATACCACACATGGTTTCCCTCCTACATTTTCCTCCCATGTCAGATATTCATCCCCCCTTTAATAACCGGCAGGGGGATCATTACCTTGAGCTACTGCCAAATGCATAATGACTGCTGCCTTTGCCTTACACAGTCACTGCACTACTGATATCCAATTCAGCATTGTAAAGTGCTTAGGGCTACCTTGGGGATGTGCTATATTAAACCCAACTATTCTAAATCCTATTTAATACAAAGGGATTGGTGGTGGGGGAGGGGGGAGGGAGATTTAAAATTGTTGTTAGTCACCTATTTTCAACAAGTAAAAAGACCTGGTCATTTAGGGCCCAATTCTGTCACTCTTAAGTCACAAATAGTCCCACTGATTTTTAGTAGGGGGTGCATGAAGGCAAGCACTCTGCTTACCGCTGGGGGAGGCAGAATCAGGTCCTATAGAAGCTGCGGCTGAGACGGTAAGTTTGCAAGGAGCTGATGGGGATGAGTGGACCCATTTCTGAATTCCTCCTACAAATGTTTTACAGTGAAAACAGGAAAGCGGAAACATGCTTTGTATCTGACTGAAAAATAAAGGTACTCTTAAACTTGTAAAAGACAACATTTTTATTTGAATGATATGACAGAGCTGCCACAGGAGTGTTACCTGCTATAAAGAAAGCTTAAGAATTATTACCTTTATTAGACCAGTGACACTGAGCTTTAGCCATACATTTCTAACTTCTGTCCCTCTACAGAGACAATTTTCTTTTCTTAAATAAACTGTCATGCTAGTGTTAATATATTGTTGGCTCCCTCATACTCTGAGAATACTGCTGATATAAAACATGTATATGTTAGATTGGTAATAGTATCTTTAGTGTAGCTGACTAGAACAAATGTGTTTCCCTCATGGCTGTGCTAATGTGATAAAGGAAAATTGGCTGTTCATCAGCTTTTGGCTGGGTAAAGACAGTAGAGATGGAACCACATTCTTTTTTATGCATTAATACCACTGAGAACTTTTCACTAGTTATATTTCATGTGCGGGCATGTTGTGCAAAGATGTTGTAAAACATGAGATAATGCTACAAATAACAAAGTAGAAAAGCCTGTATCTTTTATGATGATAATAGTCAAACACCAAATGACAGTAACAGGCTGTAAAAAATGTGATGCAGAAAAAAATGCAATGTAACTACCAATACATGTATACTTAGGCTCTTGCAAATAGGGCATCAGATGTTTAGAGGGCTTTGAATTAAAATTAAATAAAAAACTGTTGTATTTAGGTCATTGATGTGTCAACACAAAAGATAATTTAAAATGGAGAGATGTATGTTGAGCTCTGAAACTCATGCAATAACTTTTTGAACAAATCTCAAGGCTTAATAATTATGATAATAGCCTTCAAATTTCCATCAGTGGAAGGGCAATAAATATTCCTGTCTAAATTTGGGAAATATTGACTGAATCTGGAAATGGCAATAAAGCTTAGCATGCATGTGTATGTTTGAAAGTGCAGTTTAAGGAGAAAAATTCATCTGTACAATTTTGTGTCAAGCCTAAATAAAAAAAATCCAAACAAAACCCTCCATCTCATTTCATATTTTCTTTCTTAAAATACCGATAGACTCATGTTGCCCAAGGCACTGATGCTGATCATCTGAGTTCAGATTTACAGATGATTGTGTCCGTTTATCTTGATCTGAAATTTGAAAGACTTTATTGGTGGAATAGCATTGTGAGTGCTTATATTGTGGTTTTCAAACTGATGTTTTTTCAGGTGCTGGCTTTCCTTTGTGTGATAAATTATTCTGGCTTGTACACCTTCTGTTTGTCCTCACATACATGTTGTTCTTATGGAAGCAATTATTCCAGGTTTATTTTGTTTTGATTAGCATAGGTATCAAGACAAGCTGAGCATTCTAGTTTTATTTGTCCTCTGTAGACATGGTTCACCAGGCATCCATATCTGCAAAATTAAAATAACGCTCTGTAAATTGGCAACATCAAAATGGTATTTCAAAATCTGAAAGCTACCAAGTTCTCATGTGAAATGAGCCTTATGCAAGCTAAATATTGCTAAAAATCAAGTAATTTCAGTTTTGCAAATAAATCACTTTCTGAAATAAAAGAGATTAAGTTTATTCAGTAAACAATCTAAAAGAGTTCAAAAGTTTTGGATGAGTTGAACTTGTTTCTATAATTAACTTCATTAATGGGAAGCTGACTATAGCCACGATGCCTCCAGTTTTCATTTTGTATGTGCCTGTATTTTTTTAGATGAGTGTTGAATTTCATAAAATGTAAGGCTGAAAGGCACTCCCGTATTATTAAGGTTTTTTCTAATTTTATGTAACCTAAGCACGAGGATTTTTAGTGAGAAAAAAAAAAAGGTACTTTGTAAAAGCTCAGCATCTTGTGACTTTGTGGAGCTGGGAGAATGCCATAAAGTATTTCTATGAATGTTAGCTCAAATTTAAAATGAATTGGCAGGGAAGGGAATGCTTGCAGAAAACAGTACCCTGGAGTGCTGGCTGAGCGCATGTTTGTAGCCAAAGGTTCCCTTGGAAACCCACTGGGTGTAAAGCAGCTGTAGCCAGTTCCTATACCATTCCCTTCAGCCCTTGTAGAAAGAAACACGCTGGGGTTAGGGAGACATTTTGGAGGAGTGTTGGAGGCCTAGCTGAAACACACTGCATTTGGTTATCCTGAGTATGGTATATAGCCCCTTGAGGCCTGTTTGAACTGATGTGTATGAGAAGAGCTCTGACAGCTATAACATGTGCCCATGTCCTGAAGTGATGTAGCTGTAACCAGCCTTGTACCTTGTGAAACAGACCCACCCTTCTCCTTTTCCTCTCTTCCCCCTCCCTGCCAGAGCACTGTACTGTAGCTGCTTCTTTGATTTAACCCCTGTAGAAATGTTAGAATCTCTGTGCATCGGAGTGGTGATCTTATTAACTGGATTGCTAATGGATGGGCATAAAAGAGGTAACTACTTTCAGTAGGCACCAAAAATAAAGACACACAGTAAGTAGGTTGAAGTAATGTTTGTGGTTATTCAGTGATAGATGTGACATGTAGAGAAATCAAAGTGATTGCATAATGAAGAACATGTTTGCCCATTTACATTGGTTCTATAGGTACATCACAACAGAATTAGTTTTTTCTTGAATGGCTGGGAAGATGACAACACACCTTTTGATTCAAGGATTCTTGTGGGAACAGTTGCAGATACTGATGGTACACTGCAAATTGGACAAAGCTTCACAGGTAAATCTTGTAGTATTTTCGTGGAATGCACTGGAGTATTCAAAACAAGATGCATACAATGTGGTTAAAAATCTGTGTGAATCATTTTAAGTTATCTATGTGCTGAGAAGTAATATCTTCCTGCAGGAGATGGGAGGAGAAAATTCCTATTGTACAATTAGCTTTCTCAAAAGATTGGCTGAAAAACAGATGTTTGGTAGATGATCCTATAGAATCATAACTTATTCTCTGTGTGATTGTGTATAGGTAGGTCTTCCTGCATTCTCTAAAACGTAGGTATATAAAGTGACACATTCCATTAACTTACAGTCATAGTTTTTCTGAGCAAATATATGAAACTATTTCAGAATGGGATTGTTTATGGCCACTAGACTCCTCTCCAGAGTCAGGAATAGAACTTAAGATTTCTGACTGTTCATGTTCTTCAGTTCTATCAATACTCATGTAAACCATTAGCAGAATGAGAATCTCTTAGCCTCTAGTAATGCCTCATAGCATTACTCTTCATCTGCATCTAGAACTTTATATATATTACAGCATGACATGATCGTTGCAGAACAGCTGGGGGATGTTTTGTTGCTCTCCACAAATTCTTGGCTCGGCAGCTGTAAGAACACTGACTACTGCTCTTCAGGAACATGCACGATTTGAAGCTAACTCCTAAATATAACTATATGTCACTTCAACAACTTTATTGTGCTCTTGGGCAAGAAAGTAATTCTGTGGCACATTTCTTAAAGCTTGTATTTGGAAATGTGTTTTGTTATAAGTTTGATTCTGAATACTGGATAACTAATAAATGTATGAAAGAAAGGAATATTTTTAAATGCATTTTATCTTTATTGTATAAATTGATAGGTACAGTTGTACCTACTGTATCTCTTCTCTAATTAGAGGTGGCACATGGACTGGCTCATTACTTCTGTCTAATGAGCCGATCCTCGTGCCACCTCTCTAATCAGAAAAGAGATAGGTACAAAATGTTCTTATAAAGTTATTATAAATCATTCTTTTTTATATAAAAAAAATTAAGTCACTGCCCTCTATAGTTTTGTCCAGGTCCAAGATGGTTTTGTTCAGGAGGGGTAATTGTGCAAGAGAGATCTGAGTGCTGAATTAAAGGTGTTCTCATGCAGTGCAGAGCTGCCTTCTGCAAATATTATTTATGGTATATTTTCTTAGGCTTAGAACAATTCGTTGGAAGAATGCAAGATTTTCGATTTTACCCAGTGGCACTTACAAACAGGTAAAGAACCTTTATTTTTGTAAAAAAAGTGTGTTGAGAAGAAAGAATAGGTAACAACATGCTTATTTCCCAAAGTATAGTGCTTTTCAGACATCTCCTTTATATGATTGTTTATGATAATGTAGTTTACTGAACCTCATTTCAAAGATGACTTAATCTAAAAAATCTTGAGTTAAAAAATTCAACAGCTTAATGTGTTTTGCTTTTGAACTGTTGCTTAAATATAGCTAGTATATGTAGTATAAATATAGTGAAACTCAACACTCAGTAAAAAATGTGTGCTTTCCTTATTGTTGTCCCTGTTACAACCTGACTTAGTAAGTGTTCTGCAGAGAGTAGATCCAGTTGCTAGATTTCAGTGCTTACGACCTGTGTAGGTGTTATCAGATCATCATAATTCTGACGTAATAGTGTGTGCTGATAAGCTCAGTCCTGCCGGATGACACTTGCCAGGATTTCCCAGAGCTCCCTGTAAACTGTAGGGCACGGAATGGAGCATTGTGGGCCAGTCCAGTTTAGACCACTCAAATACCAGTGATACAAATGAAGAGGACAGGCACTCCATCTGGTCAGCACGCTGGCTTCACGACCTCAAGCTTAGCTCCTCTGCTTAGCAGTTCCTTTCCTCTGGTTTCAGCTTCGCCATGGTATCAAACATCCATGTCGGCTATTCTTGATGCTCCCCCCACTCCACGCACACACCCCTACCCCAAGGTGCTATTGACTTAACCGTTCATTGTTTTCTATATTAGATTGTCACCATAAGCCACTGATGACTTTGCTAGCTCAGCCCGTATAGCCCAGGGCAATTGCTTTGATGTCCTCCATTCCTGAGGCCAAATTACGGTTGCCACTGCAATTTCTGTTGCCCTCCAGCCTCCCTTCCTAGCACATTACAAAGAAATGTTACCTTTGTTATCCAGCTCATGGTGGATTAATCTAGTCAATTCAAGCTGGCCAGAAGTAGTCAGGTCCTATTTGTCTACATGGTGCTTCTGGGTATGCTACATGCGATGACACTCGTGACTGCAGACCTTAAGGCTACTTAATGGTAGTCTTTCAATAAGATGTAGAGCAGTTTCCTAGGAGCTCAACTGTCTGCAGGACATTACGGTGAACTGAGATCCTGTGGATTTAAAGTATTAATGTGAATCAGAATTCCAAGATATATGAAAATAATGTAGGTTCTATTCTTTCAGAGCAATGCATGTAAAATCCTTTAAACTACAATTTAAGTCAGTGAATAGTTTAAAAATTGAAAAATAAGGTATTTTACAAAGTGTTGTGACCTAATGATGTCTTTGTAGATGTAGTTTTGTATCCACAAATAACTTAGTTCAAGATGCTTGTCTGGGATAAACTGTGAAGGAAAGTCTTGCCTGCATATCAATTAATTTAAATCTATGGCTATCTAAAAGGTCCTGTAACTTTGAGTTCTGTGGAATTTGTAGGGGCAGCTAGCAAGTATTTGTTTGCTTAATAAGTACACAAAAATTATGTTCTTACTGGTAAAGTAGGAAGATGGGAAAAGTAGGAGTTTTTAAATTAAAAATAAGTATCTTCTAGGCTCACAAAATCCTTCTTTTATGCCAGAGATGAACAGATAAAGGTTTAGGTAACATGCCCATGTCATTCATATATCCATCTGCTTGCCCACCTACCTATGTTTGTATCTATTTTAGTTGCTGATGTCAGAGGGAACTAAAGTGACTCAATGGCTTTGATGTGGGCTGTAACAAGCAACAGGAGTGATTGCGGACTCAAGCAGCTAAAAAAGTGGGCATTTATATTAAAGTTAGTTAAAAGTGAAAATATTTCTATCCAGATTTTCTAAGGTGCAATGTGATACTGCTCAAGCTGGTCTTTTTGAAGGATTTGAGTGCAAACATTGAACTCTTATGTAGTTACAGGCAATATGCCAATGCTATGGTATGCTTAAGAACAGTGTCCGGATTGCTGATTGGAGTCAGACATGATGCCATAATAAAACGTTAAAGAGTGTTTCTCCTTGCATCTAGGGCTGGATTCATCCTACCTAGCTTTAGATACCCCAACACGGAGCTCAATTCCTTTGGCTCCATATGCCTGTGGACCTCCACATGTATCTGTGGAGCAATGAAAGCAACTCGAGTATTTCTTCACAGACATAGTCTGAAAGTACCTGCTGCCTACTCTTGATTATGTAGGAATTCTGGGTGGCCTGATTCCTAGCTGATTGCCTCATTTATGTGAGAGAGAAGCAGGTCTTTAGGGCTTCTGCTATGATCTAAGCTGAATTTTGTTTAAACTATGAGCCTAGAGGCACAAAGTGGCACTTGTCCTTTTTTATTGTGCATGTAATTACTTTTTTATATGCTGTGACAGAGACATTTTGGAAGTATTCTCTGGAAAATTTCCTCATCTGCATACCCAATCTGAGTGCCGCTGTCCTGGAAGTCATCCCCGGGTACACCCCTTGATACAGAGGTACTGCATCCCTAATGGTGCAGATGATACCACTAATGACAGAGTGCTGAGGCTGGATGCAGAAGCCCATCCTCTGTGTTACATCAACGATGATGACATTGGGACCACCTGGATTTCATCTGTGTTTGCTAATGCTGCAGATCTGGATCATGGTGTTTCAATCACAATAGATTTACAAAATGGACAGTATCAGGTAATGAGATGATTACATTTGCTATTTATTAAATCAAAACTCGAAAAAGATTTTTGTAGACATTTCATTACAATTTTGAGGAAAGTCAAACCTTATGCTTTAAGATGTTACCCTTAGAGGACCAAGAAGAAAACTTCCTTTATCAGCGTGAAACAATGCAGAAGGCAACAGAATGCACTATGGTTCTTGTAATTCTCTTTTGATGTGCCCTGACTGTTGTAACAAGCAGTAATCTAACACAGATATACCGGAGTGGATATCGTGTGTGAAGACACCAATATTTAGAAATTGATTACTCTCTTTTAACTCCTTTTGTTAAATTTCAACTTTAATTTCTGTAAAAACATGAGGCGCTTGTTTTATACCTTCTGGTAGAAAGCTGATTGTGGTCAAATGGAATTTAACGTGTCTGTGGCTCACTGACATATTGGAGGGGATTTCTGTTTTGTAAAAGTTCTGGAGATGGTGGTTCGGCCTCTGAAGGAATATGGAAGGAGAATAAGCAGGGAAGGTTCCTGAAGAGGCCAGTTTGCATCTAACACTTCAATGTGTTGGAAGAGTGTCAGGATGTCCTGGAAGGGGGTACATACCAGTAGTGGGGCTGCATTCATAGTAGGGGCTCTACCAAATTTCTGTGTGTTCTTGCTAGCTAATATTTTTTTCTTTTTTGTCATTAATGGTGAGAAGGGAAACAATATGATGGCAGGTTTTGGCTACGTAAGTAAGAATTAGTCCTTCAGTTAAAAGTGAGTTCAAATGCCTGTGAAGTTCTAAGACATGGCTTATTTGACACACACATTTCTGCATAAGCAGTATGCTGGGGGAAGAGCTCTTTAATACAACACAGAATATTTGATGAGATTTCAAGCTAAAAATAGGGAGATTCCTTAAAAAAATTTTAAAAAAATTATCTGTTTTCAGAGAAACAGCTCATCAAATATTTGGCAACACGAAGTTATGCCTTTCATTTTTGCCAAAATAATATTACTGTAAGAAATCATGGACTTGATTTTGTATTGCATTATCAAATGGTCTTCAAGAAAAAGCAGAGTTCTGATGCAACAGTTCAGTTGTGTAATAATGTCTGAGGTCAAAGAGCTTGTTTGACAAAAAGGGTTATCTTTGGTTTTAATTGGGAATATGTGGACTAGAAATATAGTGGTTCTTTTTCTGAGTGGTAAAGCAGACTATATTGTCACATTGAAAAGAGAGTTTATATTCTCATTGTTTTACAACTTAGCCATTAATATCAGTTTATAAATTTATTATCTTCTTGTAGGTATTCTATATTATACTGCAGTTCTTCAGCCCACACCCTGAAGCAATAAGAATTGAAAGGAAAAAAAGAGATGATCTAAACTGGGAAGACTGGCAATATTTTGCTAAAAATTGCAGTATTTTTGGAATGGGTAACAATGGATCTCTGGAAAAACCAGACTCTGTCAACTGTCTCCAGCTTCCTAGGTATGAGTGGGTATTATCTGCGTAATACAGATGCTTTGAACAGGTAACATCCTGACACAATTCATTTCTATGTCCCAAGGAGATAGAATCTTTTGATTTGGTATACTAATTTATTATGGGCTGCTGAGTATATAAAAGATCCCAAGTCTGACCTTTTGATTGAAGGTTGCCAAAAGGTCATCTGTCATTTTTATCAGATTTCAGACATTGAGGAATGTGACACAATTGATTCTTCTGTTATTTTTGAGCTAAACTTTTGAAATTTTACATGCTTGTGTTTTGGGGAGCTATTGTCAGTAGAATTACTAATCATGGAGATGAAGAGTGGAGGAAGGTACTGATATAACAGATTGTTTTAAACTGTCTAGTGAATGTGAAAGTATACCTTCTGATCTCCAAGAGTGCAGCTTGTTCTGAAGCTTAGAAGAGAGACCAAACTTAAGTACAAAACCAATCATTCAGCCTTACTACTAATTATGAAAAACATGTAAGAAGTGGGTTGAAAACTTTATATTGAAGCTTTCTAATCTTTCTAAGCAAGAACCAATATAAAACTGCGGGTGGGCAAAGAAGAAAGGTCATTACCTCTTAGAAACATGTTGCAAGCCTTTTTAGTAGACAGTTACCATGTGCAAATTTAAAAATACATAATATATACATTATACATTTCATAAATATAGTGTATAACAGATGTAGTTAATATACACTATCATTGTATACACACACGTGTATGTACATATATACATGTTTGAATTTATACCACTGCATATATTCAAATGCATTATCTCTTGCCTGAATTCAGATGCCAGTCAGTATTAAGCTTGTTTAGTACTTGGCAGGAAATTGGTGAGAAAGTACACTACTAGGTGCTGTAGGCATTTTGCTTTTTTTGTTGTTTCACTTTTGCTACCTTTCTAAGACTTTGCAGGTGTCAGCATCTTTGTCTATTCTCCAGGAGTTCAGTATTCTGAGGAGAGAAGCGTAAGGTCACCTGAGTTACACCAGTTTTCAGCAAAGGACTTTGAGCTTTATTGCTGATCTTTGGAGCAGAGGGTAGAGGAGAAGGGAAATCTCTCAAGCAAACCAAACTTTTTTGGATAAATAACCCAGAAGGGGTGTAATGCCTTTTTCAGCCCAGAAATATGAATTTGTGTATTTTCTAAAAAGAACTGAGGAGTTAAGTATTAACTGTTTCCATAAATGTTTTGTAAGTAGCACTGTTTCTCCCCTTTGATTATGATGTGAATGGTGATAGGAAGTGACACAAATGAGTGATTTTGGGTATAACTGATGTACAGAAAGTTTTGTCTAAAAGATAAGAAATGTACCCAGTAATGGTGAGTATTCTGTATACTCAAAGAGAAGTTACTGTTGGAACAGTGCTCCAAATTTGTGTCAGTAGCATAGCAGAGCTCCCTGCTGAGACCTTTATAGAAGGGGAGGGTGATTTTATTGTAAACCAAAGCTATTCTCTCTCTGTCATACCCACTTACTTGTGAGTGCCAAGACATGTCCAAATTGACTGTCCAGGATTTAGACACCAGTGTGCTTTTATCCTGGAGTTCTTGGGTTGACATGGAAGGCAAGGGACCTTGGCTTTGAAATCCTTACCATGGCTAGAGGTTTCTTGGTTTGGTGAGCACATGCTAGTACCGAATGGACTCTTTTGTGTCCTTTAGGCAGTGCAAGTGATTAAGGTTTTTGCTTCTCCATCCTGTACCACCTCTGTAAGTTAGGAGTGGCTCACTGTCCTTTGTCCCCCTGTCAGAGGCTTGAATCTTTGCTAAGCCTGAATATTGACTGACTCTTGCTTATGATCTCCTTTGTTTTCCTGGTTTCCTGAGAAGCTGTGTGTACATGCCCTAAGATCTTCATGACCTGCTTGTCTAGGTGCCATCAGCCTTACAGTCCTTCTTGCTGTTCCTTCTGGTACTTCCATACCAAGATGGTGTCATTCATCTGCCATTCATACCCATCTTAACATTTACATTACAGCTCTGTGTCATGGAAGAAAAATACTTTATTTAACTTTCTGCAGAGGGGAAGAGAGGACAGTATTGCCCAGAGAAACATACAGATATATTCCACTGAGATTTTTGTGAAGCACTGACCTGGATAGGGGCACAGTAAAATCAAAGGTCCTTCATGAAGACAGAGGAGTGTGACTCAGCAGACTTAGTCTAACTACAAACCTCATCTTTCAAAAGCTCAGAGATATTTTGAAGTGATGAGAATTACATTTTTTTTTGAATGTTGCATGTCAGGTGATACTGTGGCATACCTATTTTTAATGAGCCCATGTAGGTGTGCAAATAAGCAGGCATTCTTGCCTCTTGCAGAGGCAAGTTCTACTCATAGCTAAACTCCACCTAGTAAATATACCAACATGAGATATAATTCATACCAAATTGTGCAAATGTGTAGTTTGTATGTACTTGTTTACTCAGACTTTGCTTGAATTCTCAGGACTGTCCTTCCCCTTCTTGGGCTTAAATATACAGTTTTGCTCCCAATTCTACTACATTCCATTAAATTCTCTTGCACTTCACTCACTGCAAAGTGACATGTGTTTCTAATTCTGCTCACTCATCGAATGAGATGATACAGTCCAGTGACTCTGGAATTCAAAATATAATTGTTTCTGTATGGCTTTTATATGTGTTTAGCAGGTATATAATTAACAATATGGGCATGTTAATTATTGTGTTAGTCATCTGAATGATTTCCGTATATGGTTCAAACATAGTTCATGTTTCTCAAAGACGTTGTGTTAAAATTTTTGAGAACTTAGTGCAGATGATACTGTATCAGTCATACTATTCATGTTTTGAAGTTGCCCTTTAGAGGCTTTCCTTTCAGTTGGAGACTTAGAGTCTGGAGAAGAGCATGGCAATTTGGGGAAAAGCTGACATATAGAGGACATTTCTTTTCCCATGCTTGAGTTCTGGTGACTGGGAATCCACAGACATAAGAATTTTTCCCCAGAAACCACAAAACCCCTATGTACAGTTAAGTGGAGACCCTCTCTGAGAAACAGGATACTAGGAGATAGAATCTATAAAATATGTGGTTTTTTGATTTTCATTTGTCTTCCTCTCTATTTAAACAGCTTTACACCGTATTCCCATGGTAATCTAACTTTTAGTGTTCTTACCCCGGAACCAAATCACCGACCTGGTTACAATGACTTTTACAATACTCCATCTCTCCAAGAATTTGTAAAAGCTACACAAGTGAGGATTCATCTCAGTGGCCAGTATCATACTAATGAGCCTTGGGTAAATTTTAGGCATAGATACTATGGAGTTAATGAAGTTACGGTCAGTGGAAGGTAGGTGTTATGGAACTCTTCCCCCACCCGTCACCCCATCACTGCCTCTGACTATTACAGCTATGCACAGTATATAATGACCTGCCTAAAATTTAATGAAGTTGTTCTGCTTTTACATTTATGAATGAGAAGGGAATTTGGACTGAAGCAGTGCATCAAGTTTGAAATAATTGGTGTATTGTTTTTTGAAACATTTGCTCACATGTTATTTTAAAATTAATTATACTTATTACACAAATCTGTCAAAAGCAGTCCTTTCATTGGAATTACCAGTGCCTCTAAGCAAAGGCTTATGATTGAAACCATGGCTTGTGATTTACTTCAGTAGCTCTTCCAAGATTCATTATAGATTCCCAGACAAGGCAATTTTAACAGTCTTAGTGCGGAGCTCATTCTTTGTTTTAGCTCTAGTTTTCCTTTTAAAACTGGGCAGCTGTCAGTGAAAGTGTTACATTATCTGTGACTGACAACTTTATTGTACATAAGTGTGCTGTCTTGTGAAAGGACTAATTATGCCCTGTAAATAATATGAACATTTGTCAATGAAATAATTTCCAAGAAGCATATGGAGCAGATTTTTGTTAATAAGTATCATTCCTGAAATTATTTTGGTAGTTCTCATTTTGAGAGAAAGCACCCCATTAAAGGTCATGTTTACCTTAAAATTTTCTACAATACTAATGTTTTGATTATTGATTTAGATGTATTATGATAATGCTTTTAATAAAATAGCTACAATCTTGGTGACTATGTAACAGTAAAATAATTACAGCTGTAGTTTGCAAAGCTATGCCATGTCTCCAGAAGAGCAGCCCTTCAGGTAGAGTGGGATGGTTATTGCCTATACTTTATAAAGATTGTCTATACTTTATAAAGATTTCATTGTAGTAAGAAATAGATATTGTAACTGAGATCAAAATGGGTTAAACTAGAAAATTTTGCTTGATACGGTTAAGATTTCTTGAAAAACTAGAGCCACACTATAAGGCTTAATATTGATGAATAATTGCTATTTATTTAATAAAGTTTTACATATTAATGTTATATACTGAAATATAGTTTTCATTACATATTATATAAGGTAACAGTAGTTCTACTACATGCTGGTTTTCATTTTCTCGGAAAGCAATTGTTGATACTGAAAAATGTGTTGAGTGAAGTAGTCTTTTGCAGGTTATTGCACTTAAGAACATTTTTTTTGATGTTTATTTGCTCTTAATAAAGAACCAGACTATGTAATAAACAAAATTGTCTTTGTGACTGTGTTATATATTGTTGGATGGGTGTGTTTCCATATTTTAATTTTTTTCTTCACTATCTGTTGTTCTTTCAGGTGTAATTGCCATGGCCATGCTGATAATTGCAATGCAGCTATGGAACCATATAGATGCCTGTGTGTCAAGGAAAGCTATACGGAAGGAAATAATGTTAGTCTCTCCTTTGTCTATCTATGTCACCTATGAACAGCCTTAAAATTGGGATTTTAGTCCTGGGAGGGTGTGTGTATTGTCCTTGCTTTTGTAGGTTTTTTTTTAAACTTTCCATAGCAGGGTTTGTATTAAATAAGAAAACAAAAAAACTCCGTGACCCTCCCCCCTGCCAAAACCCATTCCACCACAGACCGTTAGGAGTGCTGTGTTCAGGGATTTGATTTCTTGTTAGAGGATCATGCCACTTTCAAATGTTAGATGCAAACTGGAATTTAGACTGTCAGCGTATAATAAAGGTTATGGCTCAACCTGCTGTAGCAACTAGCAAATGATCTGTAGATTAAAAAGATAATGAAGACCCAATGTTCACAGCAGATGTACTTCAGGGCTTTTTTTTTTTTTGCTCTACAGTAGTTTTAGTCTGGTCCTATGGACTCCAGACCCATTCAGTAGATGGAGTGCAGTAGGCACAGTCCTGAAGTTCAGCTTGCAATTTAGTTTCATTTGAAAGGGAATAGTTCAAGTGGTCCAAGACAGCTCCATGATACAAACCAAAGGATGGTAAATGCAGGGAACTTGGGAGATTTGCTTCCAAACTGCATGCCTAATCCAAGGTAAAACACTAACTTAGATTTACCTTCTGATACTTGGAACATCGGTAGATTGCAGTTTCTGACTTCAGCTAAGAATGACATCTTTTAATGTAGTTGTTTTACAAAATGTCTAGGATAGGAAGAGTTAAAACATTTTGGACTTGATTTTGAATGTCTCTTGCATAGTTGAGTACAGTTAGGAAAATACTGAGGCATACCTGTACGTACGTATTTGCAAGTTATTTTCTTGAGGGTCTTACTTATTATTTTGATCTAAACCAGTCATTTGGGTAGTGAATTTTAAAACATTGAAAATTGAGCTTTGAACTTATTTATTTAAGGACAGCCTGTAAATGTCAGTTTCCCATACTTCTACAGTCATATATGACATTTGGTTATCTTTAAAATAATCTGTAGTAGCAACATGATTGTTCTAATAAAAGAACAAACTTAATATTACTTTTTACTGCTCTATTTTCAGATAGTCAATATTAAGGTTAAATTTCTTGAAATTAATTAAAAGGCCATATTAAAAAAATCTAGATACAATCTAGAACATACAATCTAATCATTGCTTTGCTCTTAATAACAGCATTTCTTAATAAAGAGGGATTTTGTGAAGTGTAATATGTAGTTGAAAGTTACCAATTTGCAAAATTATAATTTTCCTACAAGTTTTATAATTCTTGGCCATAGGAGAACCAAAATGGGGTGGTTTACTGTAAGTCATGGTCTTCTAGAGAAATATGTAGAGGAGAGCTTAGAATAATGGTGCCAGTTTGCACTTATTTCATGCAGCCTTTGGTTTTCTGGAAAGCTGCTCATATACAATTTAGCAAAAGCAGAACCATGATGTATGAGTTAAGAAAACTTGCTCAAAGAGAAGATTCTGTCCCTGGATTAATTATCTCAAAAAAAAAAGTTAAGGTTAAGAAAGAATGAGCTACATCAGAGGAATAAATACCACAATCCCACTGAATGTTACATTTCTGTCATGGGTACATGTTGTATTCCTTGCTACATTTATGCCTGTTGGAAATAGGCTTTCTAAAAAATTAAGAAGGGGTTATGGAATAGCAACAGCAGTAGCAAAAGGGAGATTAATCTCACATCAGAAGAACCCCCAAGCAGTCTGTTCTTGCTAGAACAGAGCAAGAAGTGTTAACCTGAGAGCATTTGATATTGTGCTTGCGATCATGTGGAAGATCTTTGTAATATTTCACAGGGAATCTAAATGTTCTAGTTTAAGCAGAAGTGTAGGATCTACCATCTACATGGGATTTGAACAGAAATTTGAAGTTTTTAGATGGGTCAAATTAGAAAAAAAAAAATCAAACTGACAATGTCCCTTTAATTAGAACACACATTGTGAAATGTTACTTTGTAGAGATTAATTATAAATATTTAATAAGATCTGGAAGTTCACCAAGCACTCTTGCAAGACTTATGCTACCTTGTGAAAACAAACCAAATGCATTTTAATGATGTATCTGCCTTATCAGATATTTTCTGTCAATGTTAATGGTTTGTTCCACTGACTATCACGTTTTTGATTTGGCATATATGCCTTTGCAACTATAATTGAAATGCTTGAATTAACAGTATTCATTCAGAGTACAATAAGGATGTTGTTTAATTATTTTCCTCATTCTTTAATGACCATGTCAATATCTACTAAGTATGAAATAAACTAGTAGTAATAAAATAGAATTTATATTTGCAAATATCACTAACTACTTTGAATTTTATCAAGGATTTACATGAAGTCCAAATAGCTTAAAGGTTTTGATTTTTTTGTAGGGCAAACCCTTAAAAGCAAAACCGAAATCCATCCTGATTTTTTTACTGTCATTGGCAATGATAAGTCTGTCTTATAGACTTACACCTGTGTTTCTCAGGCTCCTGCCTTAGTGAATTAGGCATTTATTATTTTTTTATTATTATTTTGGATTCAATTAAGCATTCAATGAAGGAAGCTTCCGAATACAAACTTTTCTGGCAGGGAGGGGGCCAATATTTTTGAGAAGAAATTGCACTATCAGCAAACGGTCTTTTTTTTTTAACTTCTCTCATGTGCTAGCACTGAGTAAGTCACCACAACTGAGGGGGTATAAGAAGATTTTTTTGTTTTGAGTGTTTTCTTTTTTTTTAGTATCTTGGACCAGAAGTCCAACTTACTTGACAAGCTCTTAACATATGGCAGAGAATGTCCTTGTCACATTTACACTTAATACAACTAAAATTTCCATCTTGAATTTATCTGGCATATACATCTGGATAGCTGTTGTGCAGCAAAGCAATACCAGAAACTAAAAATTTGCATAATTCATTACAAATAGAAATCTTAGTTTAGTCATTTACATCACGATGTTATGAAATTTGACATACCAAATGGAATTTCTTTTTTCTTTTTTTCCTGAGTTCTGTTTTGATGAAGAAATATGTTGCTATGAAACTTGAGATGATGGGAAGAAGGGAATGCTTAAGAATGACTTGCAGGTGTTGAGAGGCCGTATGAAGAAAGAAAAGGAAATAAACCCTCGAAGAGCTTGTCTCTCATCTCATGAAAAAAATGTTCAGCTTCTTCATTTACAAATTGTTCTGTAAATGCCTTGTGTTCTGCCTTGGGAAATAGCTCTGCCTTTTAGAAATGAAAACTGAGGCACCAAGAGTGGAGTCCAGATTTTTGGTAGCATTTATACGCAAAAACTAATTTATAGACATGAGTAATAATATGTTCAAAAACTTTCTATGATGTCACATGAAAAACTGGAAACAGCCCATGAAAAAACAAAGACAATCAAACAAGGTTACCTTATAACCTCAGAGCCTCCTTTAAATCCATTATACAGAATTTAGAGAAAGGTAATGGCAGTATATACAGGAATAATTGTAGAAATTATAATATAAAACAATTTAAAATAAAGCAACTCTGATAAATGCTTTAGAGGGTATAAATGGAAGTGAGAGTGTGATTGGATATAGTAAAGGCTCCAGGTCTTTAGAGTTTTCTGTGCAAACAAGTAATGGTCTTAGACATCTAATGTCTGAAAACTGGATATGGCATTGTTGATTTACCAAGAATTGGATAAATAAGGCTTTTTATGTTGTTACGGAAGAATCTATCTAAACCTTAGTTAAAGGTCAATCTGTATCATCATGTTAGATGCTGGAATTAATGATACATAGTACCTGAGGAGCTGTAAATATTAACTACAGTAAGTGGTCACTCATTTAATAACAAAGATTTCTAGCTTGCAGAAGCAAGCAAAGTAACAAAACGTGCACTTTTTGGTAAGCTCTGTGCCGTAATTTGTGTATCCAGAGGACAGGCCTGGGAGGAAGCTGGTTATATCAGCACAAAGAGAAAGTAAATCAAGCACCTAGTCCATTTGTTTTACCTGCCTGAAAATTTAGGTAACTTTTGACATGTCTGTGAAAGTTATGGGTTTGTCCATGAATCCATCCCTGGAAAACTGGTGTAATTTCACAGTTCAAAGATCCAGGCTTCTAAAACAGTTTGTGTACAAGCATTGCTGAAACACTGCAAGAACTTGTTGCTGTCTCGATACCTTGTGATTTGTTGCACAGGTGATGATGACATGCTGAAGGAATTGTGACATGGTCTTTATCCCCCATATATTTTGGTCTGAAGTTCTTAAGTTTTACTTAAGAGGTAGGCAGATGGCAACTAGCATTATGGTTGTTATTGTTACCTCTTAGAAATTAAGAAGGCTGTTCCAGTCAAAAAATGATTTTTAGGGGCTTCTCTACTGTCCAGGCTATTTATTTCATTTAATGTGAAAGAAAGCAGTCACAACTGGGCTAGTGCTTCACTGTGGTTGGAAGTAGCTGTTGTAGATCATAATGCCACATATATTTGTTGAATTTCTATGATTTTTCACATATTCCATGTAAGTTCCCAAGTGATTAGCCAGTCTGTGTGTTTTCTTTTTTACCCCACTAAAACTATTATTTAAAGAAATAATAAAAAAATCCCATGCAATAGCTTCCTCAGAAGAATAAAATTAACCCTAGAATACCTAATAACTGTAGCTACAGCACTCTCTAATGTTACAGGAGAAAGAAATTCAAAGGCTTGTTCCAAATAGACAAGGTAGAAAGAGGGAAAATTAAACACAAAATCTCTTACAATTTAATATCCTGAGCAAGTCAGAGCTTTGGTAAAACAGAACACATACCGAACTCATCAGCTGCAAAACATACTTTCTCCCTCTCTTTTATGTTACAGAAATCCTACAGGGTTGGAATCTAAATGAGAGTTAGATGGAGTGGATACCTGATTTGAAAATAGCTTTGAATTTTAATCCTGGAGAATTTGTGTGAATTAATTTACTGAACAGCCTGTCAGAATTAGTGTGGTTGCATACACTTTGATTTTATAGGAGTTAGTGTGGCTTCAAGTAAGCTTACCCAGAAAAGCATAAATGAAAGAGGAGTTGAGTAGAAATATATCTTATGTTGCCTGACAACATCTGTGCCGGTGTTTGAGATCTCAGTTGTATCCTGTTACTGGAATCTGGCATTCAAAATGGTAGATCTTATGTTCTTTAGCATTCAGGTTCTTTGTCAGTCACTTTGCCTTTGCAAAGCAGCAGCAGTATCTTTTCTTAGAATGCAATTTGGCATACAGTATTTGCAAACCATCTATTACGTCTGTGCTTAGTTTCTAAAATTATGTTGCCTCCTTTTAAGGTACATGGAGTGTTACAATGGAACCCCATAAGACACTCTTCATTTCTATTCTGTCTTCCTTAGTCACTTGAAGTCACTTAGAGTGTTCTAGCTTTTTTTTTTCCCTAATAAAACCTGGCTTTTGAGTTTAAAAGCTCTTTGGTCTTTGGGGAGTTCACAAGAGATGGATATGGTTCAAAGCTCTGCTAACATGTGATCTTGATAGATAGTCAAATGCTGTAGTGCTGAGGAGGGTGCTGAGGAAAAGCCATGGGAAAGTTAACTGTCTTCAGGGCTAAGCTATACTGGAATAGATATTGCCTATAAGCCACATTTATTTGATTAATGAAGCTAAATGGAGGGAAAGCATATTGTCCATTTGGGTTTAGACTGGGATCTTGCAAGGAGGAAAACACAGTATGTGATTAACTATTCTGCCAACACTTAGAAGGCAGCATAAACAAACATGGCTGAGTGATACACATAATGGAGTTTTTCAAAGACAAGGCAGCATTTCAAAATGCTTGGGAGGATGGCGTTCTAATCTTGATATCCCTTCAGCAGATTTTTGAATCTTGGTGCTGTTAATAACATACATATGCTTCCATAATATACCTGAGTATTATAGGTATGTTGGTATACTGGTTATTGCAATTGAACTTTGACTGATGGATGTGATGTGGAAACTCCTACACAGGTTATGAAAAGAAAAAAAGGAATAAATTCTACATAACATTAAAAATAAAAGATGCCACCCATAGGCAAGCAGTGGGATATTTTAGAAGTGTTGGAGTAGAAGGTTCTAGTTGATCATGGCTTAATGGAAGTCTTAAAGTAGTGTTACTGTTGCCTTCTGAAGTATTTCTTTGAATATCTGTTGACTGTTTCTTCAGAGGCACTGTCCTCAGCATTCTTAGTGACTAATAAGGAACTTGGCACATAAAGGCTTAGGCTGAAGTCACAGGTGATCTTTCCATAAGAGTGCTGGATTCAGGAATTTTGAGAAGGTAATTTTTTAATAACAATTTTAGTAAAAAAAATAAATCCCAAATTAATTATTGGAAATAAGTTTTTAATCATAATTTTAGACTAATGAATTGGACCAAGATGAGCTATGTATTTTGATCATTTGGGTCCATGTAATGTTTTCACAGAAGGTGAGTGATTCAGATACTGTATATCAAGAAGACATGTTTGTTGTTGGCCATAGGGAAAGCTTATATATTTAATATGTTTTCTGAAGAGCCTAGATGTAACTGAGAATAAGGACGTCTGCATGTTTGTGGATTTTACAGTTATGGAGAAGGCTTGTTTTGTCAAGAATTAACATTCTTTGTAAATCTACCGGTAGACCTTGTTCAGATTTGTCAAAGGCTTTTTGGGAACTTACCTGTCTATTTTACACGTGATAGCCAAGAATCAAAACCTGGATCTCTCAATACCTTTGAAAATCTCAACAACTATGCTTTGGACAAATGTGGAGTTCGTTTGGTGAATGAAGACCTGAAGATTGCCACATGTTTGTCAACATCATGCTACCAAAAGTGAAAGTTAAACACAGCAGGTCTGGAAGTTAAATACAATTCTTAACCTAATAAAGGTGTAACAAACTCAGCAGGATGAGGTGGGGGTCCAGTGTGCATTTTTCATGCATACAGGTGTGGCAACTGCTAGAACAGCAGTTGTTTCAGTCACTGCCAACTTTTGAATGACTACTTTTTTACCAAGGTTCATAAAAAGTTTTGTCAAAGTTTTAAAAGTCACAGACCAAGAGACATGGTAGTTCAGAGAGGCTCTGTGCTATGTAATCAAATGCCATCTTTTTCCACTCTTACTCCTTAATGCTTATGTGTCATTTAACAAGAGATGCAAGCACAGCTGTGCATAACTGACTGATCTGAGATTAAATCTGAAATGAAACGGAGAATGCTTTCAGCCACTATGTGGCTGGCCGTGCACAAATAGAAGTTCAGGGCTGGCAGGTTGGTAGCTGTTCCTGGACTGTTTTCCTTCCAAGGAGGACATATTTCTGTAGACATGCTGCAAGGAGGAACCTGCATGAGTGGGCTGGTTTGGCTGGGAGCTCAGGCTTCTTTCTTGTGCTTCCCAAGTTTTGTGATGCATAAATGAACCCTCTTGTCTCATATTGCTGGTGCTATGTAATGCTGATTTTCCTCAACATAGAGATAAAGGGAGTGACTAGAAAGAGGAAAAATGGGTATGAATGAGGAAAGGACTTGAATAAATTTAAGCTGTGTAACAGTTATGGTCACCCCTTGGTGTACTCAAACTGGGCTAATCATGATTAGGCAGTGATTCTTCTGATAAATAAAGGTCAGAGTTCAAGGTCTGAGCAAAGCCCTGCTAATACAAATCCTGAAACCTCCTTTTTCTCTCACTATGGTGATGTGGTTTGTTTTGTTTTTAACAGATTGCAAAAAGGTGCAGTGGCTATTGTTATCTTACCTTTTACTGTTAATTTTGTTCGTTAAAACTAAATTTCAGCAGATAAATTTTTGTGCTTTCATTTTCTCTCCAAAAGTACATTTGTTATGAGCTATGACTGCTCCCCAATTCTTGGACCATTTTAAGCTTGTTTTCTAATTTAGTTTCTTATTTTACTCAGTTGATGCTTTCCCAGCATCAACTGTGAGTGAAACAGTTTAGAAACTTCAGTGTAGTTTCCTAATTGTCAGTGTATAGGTGACGTGGGCACACTGGGCCTAAATAATTATAGTGTTTGGAACAGTAGCCCTGAAGAAAGATGAGCACAATTCTGGAACTTAAGAAAGAAGCTGCCCAAATACTTTACAGAAGCAACCTATTTTGAAGCATTTAAATTCCTTCTGAAAGATGGAAATCATAATTGCAATGTATTTTGTTTCTTATATCTAGCAAGGCACTAGTATTTTGGGAACGGACTTTTAGTAATGCTAGTTAAATTAAAAAAATTATTCTAAAGAAACATCTCTCCAGTACCAACATGTACCATTTTTTGAGCCAATTTCATAAAGACTAGTTGGATTGTTCACTATAAAAATAATTGTCCAAAATTGTCCAAAATGCTATCCATTCATTAACGTTAAGCAATCAAATTTGGTTTTAGTTCTTGATGAAGTAGTAGGCACAGTAAATTTTCTCCTTGAAGTTTTGTAGAGTCTATTATGAACTGAACATTATTCCAACTTCATGTTTTTCACAAAGCTCTGCTTAGAAGGTAATATTGTGAGTTCAAATAAAAAATAAGCTTCTGAGGTGCTCCTGAACTACTTAAAAATGCTTTTACTGGTTTGGATTTAAGCCAGTTAAGGACTTGAATATAATTAGTCTTTGTATCTAATAAATTTGAAAAGGATTGAAGAAAAGAAGATAGTTTGTTTAGGTGTTTATTTAAACAGTGTACCTGGTATCCTCGTATTCCATTGGTGTCATTTAAAATATAACTTGACAGAGCTGAATATGTGTAGAGATTTGTGGGTTTTGTTCAAATGTCTTGAAAATTTCATGAGATAAATGCACAGTTAGAAGTGCTGATATTTCAGATACTCTGTGGAACATCGCTTATTTGGCCATGGGAGGTCCTTTGTTTCACTCACAAGGTCAAATGGTAACTGTACAAACTAGTTACTGCAGTACTATGAACTACGACAACAGACATTGTTTCCAAATGGATATATTAGCTGAATATGTCTTCTGTGCCTCAAACACAGTAGGTACCATTTTGCATCTCTAGAGGTTTACCTAAATCTGCTGAATCTGAGGACATTAGCTTGTCTTGAATATCTAAATACTTAAAATTTTATTCTTCTCCCCACCTTCCTTGATTTTAATCAGTTGTTAAAGTAACTTAAAAATATTTTAGAAAGAAAAAAGATGCTTTTGTTATTTCTCTATATGCTTTCTTGCTTATCTAAACCCAATATTTTTAATATTTAAACGGGGGAAAACACATAGAACGAAACATGAATATAGAGACTATAATAGTGCTTTTTTTTAATTTCAGTGCGATCGCTGTTTGCCATTGTACAATGACAAGCCTTTTCATCGAGGTGACCAAGTTCATGCCTATAATTGCAAACCTTGTCAGTGTTATAACCATGCAGTAAGCTGCCACTATGACTTAGCAATGGACCCTTTTCCTCAGGAATACTACAGAGGTAGTGGTGGAGTGTGTGATAACTGTCAACACAACACAACCGGTAAGTCACACGAGAGAATGGACCATTTGTTTTACAGTCGCTTTTTGGCTAAGTCTTGTATCAGCAGAGATTAGTAATGCTGAATGGCTGACACCCCAATAAATTTTCATGTATATGTATTTTTAACGATCCACATAATGCAATAATTACAATTGTGTCAATACTTAAGCTACAGGAAAATATGGGTAGAATTTGGTCCAATCTTGTATAAAATCTTCTGTGCAAAAGACATTCTAATAAATAATTAGAACGTGTCGTTTCAAAGCTGTTTCCGTTACATATGCTAGAGCATTTAAATCCAGAATATCATCTTTGTAATTGAACCAATTTAATGGATAACATATTAAAAATGTTGTCAAAATTGGCTGTAATGTCAGTTTCTTGCTTACTGAGTAAAGGTTTCTATTCTAAGTAGTATATTTGAATACTTTTGTAACAGTTGTCTTTCAGTTTTCTTGGCTTTGTCTAGTAAAGGGGGGAAAAAGAAAAGTTTCAGGTTCAATGATAATTTTTCCAAAAAATGTATAGGCATTTGCATGGCACAGCTTTTATATAAGTGTGGTATTATATAACAGATGGAAGTTTAATGGAGTAAAACATAGTTTGTAACAGGTTCATTGTTTCATATGCTCTGGATCACTAAATTGGCAGGTAGAGATGAAAGGTGCATTAAAATGGACGTCCTGAAAATTATAGAATTCTCTCAAAGGAATAGAGCCTTTAATTTTGAATTATACAGCTAATTTTAATGAATTGGAAGCCATAATGCATAACCTCTCTTTCATGCAGGAAGGAACTGTGAGCTGTGCAAGGATTTCCATTACAGACAAGCAGATGCAGATCTTTCAGCCACTGATGTTTGCAAACCCTGTGACTGTTGTGCAACAGGCACCAAAAATAAGAGCCTCCTGTGTGATAATGTAAGTAGCCTCAATACAGAAAAATGACATTTTATTCAGCTGGGCAGACAGCAGTAAGATTGTACAAAGTGTATTTAGATGGTAACTACTTTATTAAAAAAATGCTGAAGTTCAGCCTTTTCAAAATCATAATTGTCTTACATCAGAGACTGAAAGCTGAGAAAACACAGAAAGCAATTTGAGATGTACTGTTGAAGAGTTCTTCATCTAGATCAGCAATGGACGTAAAAGATGCTATATGAATTTTCAGAAGTGAATAGTAGTTTTGAGATACCAACAGATACCTGTGCACTCAGTAGTGTTAAAACATCCAGGTTTTGATTGGTTTTGGAGATCTTGGTACCATCTTAAAATTACTAACAGATTTTAAAAATTCAGGCAATAAGCTGAGCCTGAAATTGAACTCAAATTAAGGTAGTTTTCTCTGTAATGTGACAAGGATTGATCTCCCTTTTAATTCATAAAGTCTATCAAAAAAAAAAAAAGAAACCAACAAAGTGATAGTGAAAAGAGAGCACCATCAGCTATGCTTTTTAAGCCTATGGACTTCATTGACATGCAAGATGTGTAGTCTGATAATAAATCTAATGTTCAGAACATGCATGTCAAAAAAAAAAAGCAGGAAAAGTGACTGGAGTCTTGAACATATATTAGAGATAACGTTGTGGTTCATGTTTTATTCACATGTCCTGTCCATCACCAAAATCCCAATTTTGTTAGGAATACAGAGAAAATAGTTTCTTTGAAATGTATTTTTGAAAATATTTTAAAGGTAGAAATTATTCTACAGGGAATTGAAGATAGAACTCCTTCAGCTTGTTGCCATGTTTCCTGTGTCTTCTTTTTTCCAAGGTTTTTTCATAAAACAATCTGTAGCATTTTTCATGTGATGCTCTTGTTATTGCATTTTATTTAACAGTAAGATCTTGTGGATCCTGTTTTATTTCATCCTTAGTTCTGTATTGGTACAAATACATGCCCAGTTTGACTCAGTGCACCTTCACAGGACTTGTGCGTCGGTGTATGTGCTGAGTGATATTGAAATTTAGCAAATGTATTTTTTTAAAATAATCCCCCCATAGTACAAGTAAAAATTATTTTATAATTTTTTGTCTTCTGAAGATGATACTTTTTTCCAGCATTGCAAATGAGAAAAAAAAAAAAAAAAAACAAACCCAAAACTTGAAAAACACAGGTATCATGTTAGGACTATTTTTTAAGGTGTAGGAAAAATGAAAGCAAATTCTGATTTGCATGTCCATGGCTTGTGGTGAAATGTTAGACTAAAACAATTTAGCTGTGATTAATAATCAGACGAGAAGTAGTTTACAGAAATCACTGCTTTATAGCAAAATATACAAGAACGTTGATGAAGCTTGACTATGAAAGTACGAACGGGGAGGTAAAATGGGGAAAATGGGGGAGACTGTATTGCTCAATAAAGCATCAACTGACTGCTGCAGTAGAAGCAGAGAACGGAGAAATGATTAAGAGGCATTAAAGAACAGATTAATAAGGCTGGGGACTAAAGGCTGAAATGAATTACACGAAATAGGAAGGCATCATTGAAGGAAGTGTTTCCAAATTTGACCTGTGGAAGATGGAATTGTAAGGAATAAGGACTCTACTCGTGAAAATTAATTGCCACGTCACAATGATAATTTTCAAGGAAATAGGCCAAAAATGGGGCAGAATACACTTTTACTGCATAACTTACCGCTGTCTGCTGTTCATCAACATTTTTTCTTTTCTCAAAGTGCCAGATGTGTCACTAAGTTCCAAGAGGTACAGAGTTCCAAAATTTATCCATTGAATCACAAATTGAATCACACAAAGAATATTTACTCATCAAATGAAGTATTACTAATGTAGATAGTTTACAGGATAGGTAGAAGAGCTTACTGTAACACAGTTACTATCTCAGTTATTTGGACTGATCATGAAAACTTTATGCCTGTTCTTGTTCACCTATTTCACTCTACACTTGGTGAGAAATGCATGTGGGTGTGTAGTGTTTCTCCCTCGCATAGGTTCTCAGTCCTCATACATCTGCAAATGCTGCCCACTTACAGATCAGTGTGTAACTTCATTTGTATTCTAAAGCACAAACTAACATATGAAAACCTTCAAAATTATAACTTTATGGGCTATGGTAATGAGTGGGATTTTAGAAGTGGTGTAGCAGTGCATTCACAAGCAGTTCATTAGACCTTTTTTTGCAGAGAGAAGTCTTCCCTTCAGACTGGTGGGTACAAGAGAGCATTGCTACAGCCTAATAAAATTTGTCTACTTCCGTGCTGGTTATTGGCATGTAATCAGTGTAGAAAAGATACATGTTGGTTACATCCTCTTTGTGAACATTTGTCACAAAACATTTCAAACAATCAGAAAGTCCAGATGAGTCATTTGAGGTGCCTGAGTTTTATGAGAGTGAAAGAAGAAATGGCTGCCTCCTCCTGTTCTCCTTAACCAGTCACACATGAGAAAATTCTGCCAGAATACTGCTGATGTGATCATTCTTGCTCTGTGTGGAGAGCTGGAGATTAATTTCTGGCCCTTATACCACAATCCTTGACTCATTTTCCTCTGCTGCTTTTTACCCAGACTGCTTTACAAATGCTTACGTATTCAATCAGGCAGAGCAGTTTGTAGTCCTTTCATGATTCTATTATAATATGCCATATATAATGGTGTGAAAAAAAGCAGTCTTTTCCAGGGCATTTGTTTTGATGCAAAGCTTGAAAGTGCTGCTCTTGCTTTTACCTAGTCTTTGGAAGTACCACTCTGATCTCAGTGAATTTAAGCATCTTTCTTTACTCAGCTTTTGCTGATTTTTAAAAATTTACTCTTAACATGCAAATGAATATATATTGTATACTTATTAGTGCAAAGAAGCTGTACTTTACTGCAGAGGATATTGTTCAGAGTTGCAAAGACTTAATTGCCTTCTGTCAAGGTGGCAGCTGTGTCATCTTGTACTGCAAGAAAACTCTTCTAAGGCATAAAGATGAACAAAATGTTAGTTATTGTTCTCTCTGAGGAGTCAAACGAAAACAGATTCCAGTGCTACCAAGTAAACTTTTGAACGGGCTTCAGATTTCAACTTTCTGTACACTCCCTACATCTTGCTATTTTTCACTCTTCACTTCTTCACTCTTTTTTTCCCCTCAGAATTTTGAATGTTTGATTTAATTTTTTTATACATAATGGAAAAGCTAGCTAATAGCTGTGTATGTATATGTTTTTTAAACCAAAGTAGAATCTTTATTTCTGATAATTTTACTTCTGAGTTGATAAATTCTTTGATCTAAAATTAGAATGAGCATTCCCTTGTTCTCATTTTCCTGCCTACACAGTTTTCAAACATTTATTGTGGTTGACAATAAATAAATAACTGGAATGTGTGTTACAAGGGAGAGAACATAGGTAAAGCAGTTAATTTAAGGGCATTTCAGTCAACAGATAGATCAAATAGAATAAGTAATATAAGGGATGCAAGTGTGTCAATGAAAAGCTCATGTGCATAGGGAAGTCCATAAAAATATCAAGTTCTAAAACTTTGTGTATATTCTCAATCCTGGATTTCCCTTCATGGAAGGCCTTTAATCTTATTGTTAAAATGAAGGAAAATGAGCTTTTTATGTTAAATAATTCCATGGCTTCATTTCTGGTGGGTTTTGTACCATGGAAGTGTTGGTTTTCTGTGATAGTTTGTCAAGTTATGTTGGGGATTTGGAGTGTCATGGGCAGAGGGTAAACAACTCATTTTACGTTTTGAGCAGAAGTAGTAGAAAGCTACTGACTTCTGAAAGTCATCATATGCGATGACAAGAAGAGATAGCAGGGGAATGAAAAGGAGCTTCATTATTTCTACTTATTCAATTTTTAGTTCCCAAGGCTGACATACTGAGAATACTCCCAGGTATTTGGTGGTCAGACCATTAACCTATGTGTGTTAGCCAGCACACCTTACAGTTCTCATTTTCTAAACTGAAGAAAAGGAAAATAAAATAGAAGTCCTCAACCCCCTTGCCTGCCCCCTTGCACTTCCTGAGATTACAGTCTACTGGATGCTAGGGTGCTTGCCAGATTTCCATCAAGTAAGAAGGTAGTGAGAAGTATATGATTAGCATTTATATCAAAAAGGCAGAACACCGAGATTGGTACCAGTCAATTGTGAAGCCAGCAATGGCAGGATGAACAGAAAGAATTTCATACAGGACCTAAATATACCCGTGGATCTTAAAATGCAAGTTTTAGGGCATTGCCAGCTGGTCAAGGGAAGGTGCTTCTGTCCTGGTAGAGAGTAAATAATTGAATTTAGTAATGCCTCAGCCAATCACAAAAGGTCTTTAGTTAGGTGTTTTGGGCTTCAAAACCAGAATTTAACTTTGGTAAAAGAAACATAGAAAGTGTCAGTTTTAGTTTTTTTTTTTTTATTTAGTAACATTAAGTCACATCTCATTTATTCTCCAGAATTGGAGAGGCTTTCTGATTATGTTTCTGGCAGTATGTTTCTTTTATTACACACACCAAAGAATAGCTATTTGAAATTACAGGGATATCCGAGGAGAAGAAGATGATTTTCAGAAAGGCTTAGGCCAGCTGTTTTTTTTTTTCCAGAAAATTCCATTTCATACTTTATGAATACAGATGGTCAACAAGATTTTGAGTACTCAGAAGATATATTTCTGAGACCATGATATGTATGTGTTGAATATCTGCTGGATGAGCACTATGACTGAATAGTTTGCTGTACCCTAAATAATAATTAAGATAATTCTTTCAATTATATCACCCTGTGTCCTGGGTACTTAAATGTTTTCTTAAGTCCTTGTATCAGATTAGTAACTGGACATTGGGAAGGTTCCCAAACAGGTTTTACTTTGAATTTGTGATTCTAGATATGATGAGTTAATGTCCCCCAATTTAGAGAATGATATCAGTACAGTCTAAAGCAGCGTGCACTACTCGGTATATATCTAAAACTCAGAAATCTC